GGGGCTTGTCAAGAAAACAGATGAGGAAACTACGGCTCAGAGAGGTTAGGAAAGTTCTCAGGTTCATGTAGTAATTTGCAGATCACACATCTGAGCCTTGGCACAGCTAGTGCAAGGCCAGACTGTCAGTGTGGGCTGAAGAGATAGGCATGTGCACCGTGTTAGCAACAGAAAAGCTGGCTGTCTTCTGGTTGCAGAGCAGTGCTGTCACATAGAAATATAATGGGAGCTGCCCGTGTAATTTACAATTTTCTAGTTGCTATGTTAAAAAAAAAAAAAAAAAAGGAGCTCTGGTGGCATAATGAGTAAGGCATTTGGTTGCTAACCAGAAGGTCAGTGATTCAAACCCACCAGCTGCTGTGCAGGAGCAATTTATTTCTGTAAGATTTATTTCTGTAAGACAAAGCAATTTATTTCTGTAAGATTTACAGCCTAGGAAACCCAGCGAAGGTTGCTATGAGTCAGAATTGACTTGATTGCAGTGTTTTTTTTTTAATGTTAAAAAAAATTAAAATACGTAAAATCAGTTTTAATAACCTATTTTACAGTGCCTATACGATTATAAGACCAGAAGAAATAGATGGTGCTCGGCTACTACTGTCAACCACTTGGAGGAGGATTTTTGTAGGAGATCCTGGATAGACAGGGAGAACAATGTGGAACAAAATTCAAAATCATTTGGGGGGGAAAAAAAAAAAGCAGGGAACAGGTTTGCTGGCCCGAGGGAGCCTAGTGGAACCACTGAGACTATGGCCCCTAGCTGCCCTTCAGGTCTGGAATTGAATGCACACCTGTGGCTTCCAGCCAAACAATAGACAGGCATATCAGTTGAGCATTTACCTGAGGTAGATACACTCCTTGGAGAGAATAAGCATGAGAGAAAGAAGGGCTGCTCAGGCACAGAGAGACAGCTCAGGGGGTAGGAGTGCATGGAGGGATGGACGCAGGGAAGAGGTTAACTATCAGGAGGAAATGGGAGGGGAGATGTTGCATTGTGCTAAATTGTGGTCAATGTCATGAGACAAAGTGTATGTCAACTGCTGTATGGAAAGTGTATTTGCTCTGTAAATTTTCACCCAAATCACAATAAAAAAAAAAATATGTAAAATCAGTTTTAATAACCTATTTTATAGTGCCCAATATAATCAACACATTTAATATATAAATTAGTAAGAGAGTATACATTCTTTTTTTCTAAGTCCTTTAAAAATCTGCTATGTATTTTATACTTAAACCAATTCCAGGTAAGCATATTTCATAACAAAGCTACAGAATGTTAATATTTTCTCTGAAATATGGTATCTCCACAGCAAACAACCATGATTTTCAGGATGGGTCTTAGTTTCGAAAGTTCAATCTCACTGCCCCTTTAACAGGTTGTCAGAACTTGTGTCTTAATTTAGGTTTCAGGAAAGCAGTCGTTCTAAGCTACCTTCTCTTTGCTTACTGCATCCATTGGCTTTATCAGTAGATTCATTTTGATCACTTCACAGTGTGACCTAAATTGTCTCTTCAAAAAACATAATTATAAATTCAGCATAAGCTCCCAGTAGGCACCCAGTTCTCAGAGCTATCCCAAACTCAAACCACACTGCCCCTTGTAAAACTTTAAGTGAGAGATGCCCTTCCAAGTTATCAACATATGTACTAGCAAAACATTTTGGGGGTGAAGGAGGTAGGTAGATTTATACCTTCCACAGTTTAACCTGGAAGTTGCCTCTGTGTGCCTAGACCCCACAGCACAAAGAACCTCCAAGTTCATATCATTGTTACAGTCTTTTAACACACTGAGGGCCCAATAGCTCACTCTTACAAGGTCCAATTTTATGCACTGTATCCACTGCTCCCCACTGCCTGGGGTGATTAAAGCCACCCACGGCCTCTTCTATCTGCTAGGTACAGCAAGAGGGCCCTGACAATTACTTCTTATCCCAACCAGTTCAAACTGGGCTACTTAGGGAGCTCCTGGGACCTTGGAAGGCTCTTTCTGGCCAAAGATGATAAGATAGAGAGTTATCGGTAAAAAAAAAAGGCTGGAGGCCAACTTTGCTGACCACAGCTGCAAGAAGATAGCTGCATATTTGTAAGCTAAGTGGGGGTGTGGGGAGGGGAGGGGGGGGGGGGGGGGGGGAGGTTGCAGGACACCTATTCATTTTTAGAAGAGGAATGGAAATAATGCTAAAACTGCTCCAACACACATTTGTAAACATTTTAAATGGCAGATCCTGTTTTTTAAACTTTCTCATACAAATTAACATAAAAATATTCTGGTTGTACAGTTCAGGTGCATACTCAGACTGGTGAAGACATTATTATTCAAGATTCAAGAAGATATTATTATTCAACTATATAGCTGAATTTTCTAAAAAGGGCCTTGTATTTGTTACTCCAAAAATTAACAAATAAATACTGTAATTCATTCTTTTCAACTCAGCTTTTAGGGCATCTGATTACAAAACACACAGGCAAGTGCCCCAACACATGCATCTCTACACACAAACACAACTGTTCTTTACCTCCAGCATTTCAAAGAGATGTGCCAACATCTGAGGTTGCTCTCATGATGCTAACTTACAAATTAATGATGCCTACTTCCTCTTATTCCCACAAATATCACCTTTCAGGCTAGCTTCAATATATTATATAGAATGACTTTTGAGGAAACCATATGTCCTAATAAGTTTTTCATCAGATCCTGTCCTTATAACATATAATACATATTTATTACCTATTAAAAAGTACCAATTAAAATGGAAAAAAAAAAAAAAAAGAGAAAGAAGTGTGCCAAACCCAGACTTATTTCCTGAAATCACAATTTTTCAACAGTCTCACAGGTTTAAGGCTGCCTCTCAACATACTAACATGGCAAAACACATGGGGATGAAGTATGAGGCTCTTGAGATGGACAGGGCTGGATGCCCAGGACATAGTGTAAGCATAAGCAGACACCAGCAAATTTTGATACCTCAGAAACCTTTTTGACATCTAAATTTCAAAAATAAAACAAGACTGGTTTCCTTACACTTACTTTGAGTTACTATGGGCTGGCAGGCATACTACAAATTATTTGTAGTGCTGGCATCTCCAAAAGGCTCAATCTGAGTCTGCCTGCCTGTTCTCTTATTCCTTCCTCAAAGGCACTTTGGACTCCTGCTCTGTGGCCCAACCCACAGAGAAGGGGAAAGAGAAAGACCACTAGACACAGTTTGTCTCAAGCAGCTCACAGCTCTATGAGAGCTACGAGGCTCAACATTTCCCTTTATGACAAGAAAAAGATTCTTACTTCCATCAAATTCTATACACAATCAATTGAACTATGAAGTGATCCTCTTGAATACCTAAATGATTCCAAGACTCTCCCCAAGCTTTAATATTCATAGCCAACCAGGAAGTAGGGAGCTCGGGTAGCATAGTGGCTAAGACACTTGCCTGCTAACCAGACCGCTGGCGGTTCAAACCCACCATCCTTGGAAGGAAGGTTGGGCAATCCTACTTCCGTAGTGATACTGCCTCGGAAACCCAAGGAGGGGTCGCTATGAGTCGGGTTTGACTCCACGGCACATAACAACAAACAACGACCAGGAAGTAATTGCCCTTCTCCTTAGCATGAACCTGTCCAAAATCATAAATCAATCCTTTCTACAGCAATGGATTCATAGCAAAGTATGCAGTTTTGTCAGTTTCACACCTGATAATTTCACAGACCCTCTTCAGAGTCCTCATGACAGATGTAAGTTTATCTCCAGTCACATGATTTCTGGCCACTTAGCTTAAAGCCCCATAGGATCAGGGACTGTATTCCTTTCTGCTTGCCAATGTAACTCTAGGGCCTAGCGCACAACAAACGGTCAATAAATATTAACTCAAAGAGAAAGAAGACTTAGAGAAAATGTTTGGATTTTAAAAGACTCTTGCATTTGAAGAATTCCTCCAATCACGGCTAAAAGTGAGGAGCTATAGAAAATTGTTCTACTCATTTGGATTTTGTTTCTAAAAGCAGATTCATCTTTATTTAAAAAAAAAAAAAAAAAACTCAATTCTGATTTAATTGGGTTCTGATGTATATGCCCCCAACCAAAAAACAAATTCACGGCATTGAGTCGATTCTGACTCATAAAGCAACCCATTTTGGGTTTCCAAGGCAGTAAATCTTTACGGAAGTAGATTACCCAGTCTTCCTTCTGTGGAGTGGCTGGTGGGTTTGAACTGGCAACATTCTGATTAGCAGTCAATTGCCTTAGGCATTATACCACCAGAGCTCCTTATATGTTCCCAAAGCATCTGTAATTTATACAGATCACTGTCTCTGAACAATGTTGCTTGTTCTGAAATAGATGTAAACACTGTATGCTTACCTCTCAAGGAGACAACAGCATATAACACGAGACAAGTCTGAGAAGTTCTGATTGTTTTGCTTCATTCACACTGTGATAATACTGACTACTTGATAAACTTGCCTGCAGCAAATGTTTTTAAAAGCAATATAAATAAAAGTATGTTTTTAGCTAGCATTTTTTTTTTCAAGCAGAAAAAAAATAATGCATTCTGAGAGTACTGCCAAAGCCAGAACTAAAGCCCACTAAGTTGGTGGAAGAGCACATCCAAAAATTCTAATAATGAGATACCACTCCACTGGTATGTGCGTCAACAAGTTAGGTAAATAAACGTAAACCAAATCTGCAAACGTCCCCAGCTAACCTGGAAGTCCTAACTTTTTGCATGATGATACTGTGAGGTGAGCTCCCAGGCCAGCACTTACCCCAGTCCCTCCTCAAAGTTTAAAAAGTGGTCTAGTGAGAGGAGAGAGGTGACAGGTTCTCCCTGGCCTCTTTGCTCTCCCTTCAGTGGCCCTCCGAGTGGCTCCAGAACGAGCAGCTTTGCACAGCGACTTGACAGAGAGTTGAAGAGAAGGAGGAAGGAACATCGAGGGTGCCAGGCAAGGGTCAAGGGCGGAGAGTGGGCCAGGACCCAAGCAGGGACCCGGCGCGGTGCGCCCCTACCTGCCAGCGTCCAGCGCTCAGGGTACGCCAACCCCAGGAGCTTCTTCGCCTCTGAGCGCCCGGCAGCTGAAGGCTGCAGCCCAGAGTCGTCTCCGGGAGCTGCCACAGCTGCTGGCGCCGCCGCCCCGCGCCGCCCCGACTCACCCTCAGCCCGGGAAGAGGCGGCGAGGCCTCTCGCGAGCCCCGCGCGCGCCTCGCACCTGCAAGCTACCGGGAGTCGCGCTCGGAGCCCCATGAGCCGCACAATGCCCCCGGCGCGCCCAGGGGCGCACGGTGGCCTCAGTATAGACACTAGTGGCCTGGGGACACTGTGGCTGTAACTCTGGTTCCTGCCGGGCCAGGTGCTCCCCCAGCAGTGCAGGCACGCAGATCCAAGACCCCCGGAGAGCCCCAGCCCCGCGCCCCCAGGCCGCATCGGCCCTAGCCCCACCAGCTGCCGCCATTGACCGGTGGCCCAGGCTGCAGCCGGAGGGCGCGCGAAGACGGCCGGAAGGAGTCGCAGCGGCCAGGAAGAGGGACCACGCATGGCGCCGAGACGTACACTCGGTCCCGACCTTTGCGCCTCTACCCCGGCGCCCCGTAAGCGCGGTACCCTAAGGCTCCTCCCCTGCCCCAGGCCCGAAGTGCACACAGCAAGGCCCCCCTCCGCGGGCTGCTGGCGACACAACCAGGATCCGACCCTAATGGTTGGGCGTGTGCGCTGCGCCTTCTGCCCTGCCCACCGTAGTCCGCGCTGGCCCCCGCCGATAAAGCTCCCGCCTTCCGCCTTCCGTGCTGTCACCTCCGGTCGAGAGCAGGGTGCGACCCGCATGTGGCTCCCAGGTCCCACATTCTGAGACGCGCCCGTTGCCGCCGGGAGTGTATGGGCCCGCGCTGTGCGCCACTCCATCGCTGCTAGCGACCCTCAGGCGTTGACCATATCTGCACGCCGGTCGGCTTCCTGCACACACCACACTCTCGTCGGGTACCCATGCCCAGAAATGTGTCTCCACAGAGCTCCTTGTTCTTGCGCTGGCGCCGCTGCCACGCGGGAAGAGGCGAGAGAGAGAGCGCCACTCACGCGCCACCTGGGAGACTAAACCCCAAGCTGGCGGCGGACGCCGGGAGGGAGTGAGCGACGCCGGCCTGGCTTCTCGCTCTGGCTACAGGAGCTTTTTAACGCTCTCCATCACCTGCCGCACCAAATGGGGGCACCCACGAGCTCTTTCATACCCCGGAGGACTCGCAAAGCGGTTACCAGGCGCTACCAGACGATGTCCGGTACAAGGATGAGGCGAAAAGCCAATGAGCTCGGAGAGCGCGGGAGCTAAGCCTTGGTTTGCACTGGCTGGCTCCAGCGGCTAAGGCTGCGGTGCGGAGACACCCGCTGGGAGGGAAATCGCTGCGCCCCGGGGCATTTCTGTTCTGAAAGACTTCGTAGAGGAAATGGTTGGCGAGTGTTAAAATATAAACAGCTTTGAGAAAGGAGCAGTAATCATTTCAAATCTGAGTACGTAGACTTGCAAAAGCAGAATGGTCGATGCACCCCAGCTGCTCTGAGCAGTGAAGAGAAATCAGAAAGAAATACTCTGTGTGTGTGTGTGTGTGTGTGTGAGAGAGAGAGAGAGAGAGAGAGAGAGAGAGAGAGAGAATATACAGTCATAACCGTTTCAACAATTTCTACAGATATAACTCATTGACATTGATTACATTCTTCAAGTTGTGCAAACATTCTCACCATTGACTTAAACTCACAGCCCCTAAACTTCTCATGTAATCTGAGAAAGAAATGTGCTTTAATGCACTGGCAAGGAAAGCCAGAGGAGAAGGTCTTAATAAACCCATCAATCACAAGACACACAAGAAGACTTTCACAGTGGGGGTAGCTGTGTGCTGTGTTTCAGAGACAGAGAGGGGATCAGCTGCATTATTAAGTAAGAGTTGTTGTGAGGTGCTGTTGAATGGACTCATAGAGGCCCCAGCGACAGAGTAGAACCGACCCATAGAGTTTTCTGTGCTATAATCTTTAGGGAACACATGGCCAGGTCTTTCTCAGGTGAAGCAGCTGGATGGGTTCCAACAGCTAATCTTTCTGTTAGGGACTTAAAAGACACAAACATAAATATGTAACTAAAGGCCAAAAGAGCCTAGGTCCAGCAACACCCCACTGCTGCACTAACTTCCTGTAAGTTGTTTTTTAGATACCCTGGAAAGTTCCAGATCAAATTGGTTCAAACCAGATTGGGCCCATGGAGCCTGCACAGAGAGGCTATATCCTGAGATGACCTAGTGATATGTCCTACTACAAAAACTCTGCTGAGCACACTAAGACTGGCATTTTTGAATACGGAACACCTGAAGATGCATGTTTGCTTAGTGCACACCTGTTGTTGTTGTTATTTGCCCTCAAGTCAGACCCGACTCATAGTGACCCCTCCTTGGGTTTCTGAGGCAGTATCACTACCGAAGTAGACCCCACCCCAATCCTATACATTAGGAATTACTAGAAATAAGATGACTATGTATAACTATATTATTCACTAAACCCTATAAAATGTTAGAGGAGCTCTGGTAGCATAGTGCCAGAGGCATGTGACTACTAATCAGAAAGCTGGCGGTTCAAACCCACAGCCACTCCTTGGAAGAAAGATTGGGCGATCTACTTCCATAGTGATACAGCCTCTGAATTCCAAGGAGGGGTCATTATGAGTCAGATCCTATTCAATGGCAGTTGAGTTTGGTTTTTGTTTTTTGGTTTTAAATGTTAGCAGTTCAAACCCACCAGCCACACCTCAGAAGGAAGATTGAGCAATTTACTTCCATAGTGATACCACCTCGGAAACCCAAGGAGGGGTCACTGTGAGTCAGATCTGACTCAAGGCAGTGAGTTTTCAGAGTTTATAAAATGTTAACAGCTTTTGCTTGAGGAGTCAGATCTAGGTGAGTTCCCCTGGCTCCTTGATGTGCTGTACTTCAATAAAACTCCTTTTTTTCACCCAAACTGTGGTGCCAAGTAGACTGGCTCATTCATGCATCATCAGGACCCCCTTTTGTCCTATATCATTTCCATTAGCAGCTGAGTGCTTAACCTACATAAGAGTAGTAGTTGAGAAAGATGGACAGATTTTTGTTGACTCAGTTATTTTTACAAGGCCTGGTTGAGGGTAAGGTGAATGAGGCACTCTCCACAATTGCAAAATTATGTGGATGCCAAAAAATAACCAAGATAAATATTTTAGTGCAATATTATTTTTAAAAAAATAGCAAAAAAGAAAAATGCATGAATATACTCATAACCATATATAGGTTTGGCCGATGAAATTTCTACATATGTATTTGTATGTGCTGTAAAAGTGTCCATGTATATAATACAGTGGTCAGGGGCAGAGATATATATAACTTCCTAGTCTGGTGGTATAGTGCATAAGGCATTTGACTACTAACCAGAAGGCTGGTGGTTCAAACCCACCAGCCACTCCTCAGAAGAAAGATTAGGAAATCTACTTCCGTAGTGATGTTGTTGTTGTTGTTATGTGCCATCGAGTCAGACTTGACTCATAGCGACCCCTCCTTAGGTTTCCAAGGCAGTATCACTATGGCAGTAGATTGTAGTGATACCATCTCAGAAATCCAAGGAGGGGTTGGTTTTTGTTTTTGTTTTTGTTTTTTTTAGCCATAACCAAACACCTTGACACAGTAAGTCTCTGGGCCTGAGGGCTTTGGGCCATATTTGCAGGGGATATCAAGTTCAACATGTTCTTGTTTTTGTTAGATGGTGGCAAGTTGAGTCCAACTTATAGCCACCCTATGTATAACAAAAAGAAACACTGCCCAGTCCTGTGCCAGCTTCACAATCCTTACTGTGCTTGAACCCATTGTTGCAGCCACTGTGTCAATCCTTCTCATTGAGGGTCTTTCCCTTTTTCATCGACCCTCAACTTTACCAAGCATGATATCCTTCTCCAAGGCCTGGTCGCTTGAGACAACATGACCAAAATACCATGTGGTGAAGTCTGGCCATTCTCACTTCTAAGGAGCATTCCAACTGTACTACTTCCAGGACAGATTTGTTCATTCTTCTGGCAGTCCATGGTATTTTCAGTATTCTTTCCCAACACCACAATTCAAAGATCAATTCTTTTTTTTGGTCTTCCTTATTTATTATCTAGTTTTCATATTCATATAAGGTGATTGAAAATATTATGTCTTGGGTCAGGCACATCTTAGTATTCAAAGTGATGTCTTTGCTCTTCAACACTTTAAAGAGGTCTTTTGGAGCAGATTGCCCAGTACAATTCAACATCTAATTTCTCGACTGCTGCTTCCATGGGTGTTGATTGTGGATCCCAATAAAATGAAATCTTTGATGGCTTCAATCTTTTCTCCATTTATTTAGATGCTGCTTATTGGTCCATTTGTGAGGTTTTTTTGTTTTCTTTATGTTCAGGTATAATCCATATTGGAAACTGTAGTCTTTGATCTTCATCAGTAAGTGCTTTAAATCATTTCACTTTCACAAGAAAGGTTGTGTCATCTCCATATTGCAGGTTGTTAATGAGTCTTTCTCTAATCCCCATGCCACATTCTTCTTCATATAGTCCCACTTCTCAGATTATTTGCCCAGCACAAAGACTAAGTAAGTATGGTGAAAGGATGCAATCTTGATGCACGTCTTTCCTAATTTTAAAGCAGGCAGTATTCCTTTGTTTTGTTTGGAAGACTGCCTCTTGGTCTATGTACAGGTTCTTCATGAGCACAATTGAGTGTTTTGGAATGCTCATTCTTTGCAATTTTATCCATAATTTGTTATGATCCACACAGTCAAATGCCTTTGTATAATCAACAAAACACAGGTAAATAACTTTCTGGTATTCTTTGGTTTCAGCTAAGATCTATCTGACATCAGCAATGTTATTCTTTATTCCACATTCTCTTCTGAATCCAGCTTGTATTTCTATAAGCTCCCTGTGGATATGCTGCTGCAATTGTTTTTGAATTACCTTCAGCAAAATTTTACTTCCATATGATATTGTTTGATGATTTCCACATTCTGTTGGATCACCTTTCCTTGAAATGGGCACAGATATGGATCTCTTCCAGTCGGTTGGCCAGGTAGCTAGCTGTCTTCCAAATTTCCTGCCATAAATGATTAGGCATCTCCAGTGCTGCATCCATTTGTTGAAACATCTCCATGGGTGATCTGTCAATTCCTGGAGCCTTGTTTTTTGCCAGTTCCTTCAGTGCAGCTTCGACTTCTTCCTTCAATTCCATTGGTTCTTGATCATATGCTACTTCCTGAAATAGTTGACAATTAACCAACCCTTTTTGGTACAGTGACTCTGTGTATTCGTTCTATCTTCTTTTGATGCTTCATGCATCATTCAGTATTTTGTCCATAGAATTCTTCAGTATTGCAATTCAAGGCTTGATTTTTTTTTGTCTTCAGTTCTTCCAGCTTGAGAAATGCTGAGTGTGTTCTTTCCTTTCGGTTTTCTAACTCCAGGTCTTTGCACATTTCATTATAATACTTTACTTTGTCTTCTCAAGCTGCCCTTCAAAATCTGCTGTTCAGCTCTCACTTCAACATTTGTTCCTTTCATTTTAGCTTCTATCCTTTCAAAAGCAAATTTCAGAGTCTCTTTGACATCAAAAATTTGGTGTTTTCTTCCTTTCTTGTCTTTTTAATAATAATTTACTTTCTATATGTATGATGTTCTGTGTGTGTGTGTGATTTCAGTGAAAGTTTGCAAAGGAAATTCACCTTCCATACAGCAGTTCACATACACTTTGTCTCATGTCATTGACTACAATTTACCACAATGCAATAGCTCCCCTCCCAGTTCCTCCCTGTAGTTACTTCTTCCCTGTGTCCTTACCTCAATCCTGCCCCCTGAACTATGTTCCTGTGCA